GCTTCTAAGCATGGATATTGATGAGATTCTTGAAAGAGCAGAGAAGGTTGAACAGAAAGGTGCTGAAGACGAAGCAGGACATGAGTTACTCAGTGCATTTAAGGCAAGAATATATATCATGCATTTATTCTTCTAGCTGTTGAAAATTATCAAATTTCTAACAATAATAATATTTCATTTTATTTCCTCATTTGATTTGGCAGGTTGCAAATTTCTGCTCTGCTGAAGATGATGGAAGCTTTTGGAGTCGCTGGATAAAACCTGATGCCATCTCACAGGCTGAGGTAGGTGTGTGTGTACATATTATTATTATTTTTTGAGAATGTGATTATTTATTATAATAAATGTAGGAAGCCTTAGCTCCTCGAGCTGCAAGGAACAGCAAGAGTTATGCAGAGTCAATCCCATCTGAGAGAAATAATAACAAAAGGAAAAAGAAAGGTGTTGAATTACAACTACAAGAGAGAGGAATAAAACGCAGAAAAGCTGCTGCAGCTGCTGATTATTCTAGTTATCAACCACCAGCACTTGAAGGAGCTTCTGCTCAAGTCAGAGGCTGGTCTTATGGGACCTTACCAAAGAGAGATGCTACACGTTTTTTTCGTGCAGTGAGTCTCTCTCTCTCTCTCTCTCTATAATCTACACTGAGATTAGGTTAATTAATTCCTTTGAAGTGAAGAAAGACGAGCAATTAATTTAGTATTTGTATCGTAGGTGAAAAAGTTTGGAAACGATAACCAAATGAGATTGATAGCTGCAGAGGTTGGTGGATCTGTTGAAGCTGCTCCTGTAGATGCACAGGTTGAGCTTTTTGATGCTTTATTAGATGGTTGCAGAGAAGCAGTTAAAGGAGGAGGAACTATGGACCCAAAGGTTAAATTCCTTTCTTAAATTGCTCCATTAGTTGAAAGGCAACATGAATAGAAATGAAATTTGTTTTGATGTTTAGGGGCCATTGTTGGATTTTTTTGGTGTTCCTGTGAAGGCTGATGATGTATTGAGCCGAGTGGAAGAACTTCAACTCCTTGCAAAACGAGTAAACCGATATAATGATCCTATCTCACAGTTCCAGGCTTTGATGTACCTCAAACCTGCAACTTGGTCTAAAGGTTGTGGCTGGAACCAGAGTAAGTTTTACTTTCTTCTTTTCTCACTATGTAAATGGTTGTGGATGAATTACAATTACAATTACAAATTTCTTTTTCAGAGGATGATGCAAGACTGCTACTAGGGATCCACTATCATGGATTTGGGAACTGGGAAAAGATACGAATGGATGAAAAGCTTGGCCTTTTGAAGAAGATTGCTCCTGTGGAACTTCAACACCATGAAACTTTCCTACCACGCGCACCTCAATTAAAAGAAAGAGCTTCTCAACTTCTTCAAATGGTATCTTCTCTTGCCCTTTTTTATTCAGTTGTATATCCTTAAGATGCAATAAGTGATTTTTGTTTGTTTACTTTAAGGAACTTGTGGCTGTTGGTGGGAAGCCCAAAGGGGGACGAAAGGCCACTAAAAAGCAAAAAGATCAATTTCCAATAACCAACCCAACTTCTCACACTAGAGCCAAACAGTGGAAACCAGGAGAAACAAAACTCCCAAAAAATAAAATCAAAATGAAAGGTGGCAAGAAAAACGAGCCCTTGGTTAAAGAGGAAGGTGAGATGTCAGACACGGAAGAAGTGTATGAACAGTTCAAACAAGTTAAATGGATGGAATGGTGTGAAGATGTCTTGACTAAAGAGAAAAAGACACTCGAGCGCCTTCATCGCCTTCAAACCACCAGTGCAGATCTTCCCAAGGAAAAGGTACATTCCCTTTCCTTTTTCTTTAAGGGTTAAATTCTTATTTGAAAAGCTGGGGAAACTTAACTGAAATGTTTGTCTTCTTTAGGTTCTTTCGAGAATTAGAAATTATTTGCAGCTTCTCGGGCGAAGAATTGATCAAATTGTTATCGACCATGAGGAGGATCTGTATAAACAAGAAAGTAAGCAACTTTTTTTTTTTTCTTCCTCTTTATATTTATTTATTTTGTCCTGTGTAACAAACAAACAAATATTTTCAGAGATGACAACACGTCTATGGAACTACGTGTCAACCTTCTCAAATCTATCGGGTGCCAAACTTCAACAAATCTATTCCAAACTCAAACAAGAAAAAGGCTTGGCAGCTGGAGTAGGAGTGGGCCCTTCCCAAATCAACAGAGGAGGAGGTTTCAGAAATAACAACCAATCATCATCCACATTAGTCCACAAAGGAGGCCTCGACGCTGCAAAATTCGAAGCATGGAAAAGAAGAAGACGGGCCGAATCCGACCCAAACACCCACACCCACACCCATTTCCAAAGACCCTTTGCTAATGGGATCGGGACCCGTTTACCCGACCCAAGTATTGGAATCCTCGGGGCATCCCCATCTGATACCCGACCCGCTTTCGGTCAAAGACAAGGAGGCTTCACGTGAGTTATATATATATATATTTTACAATTTACACCTGTTTTCTTTTACATATCAGAAAATTCCTATTATTATTGGTCTCACCCTACCCTGGTTGCAAACCTTTTTATGCTTCTTTTTGGCTCGTGGAAACACATATTATTTTCTGAAGCCAAAAGATGGTGGTGGTGGTGGTGGTTAACAAAGGGTAAATGGAATGATGCAAGTGCAACCATAAAGTTTTTGGTATTTTTTTTTATTTTTGGCGTAAAAATGTAGGCACTTGGTTCGGATCTCTCTTTCTCTTATATATAGTGGGTAGTTCACGCTTAACGGATTTGGTAGCTCCATTTTGAGATATATAGAAAACAGTTTTATGTATCTCTGAAATTGTATACTATCACGTTTTTGGTTAACCAATTATCAGTCTCTTTTTGATGTTACTAGCTTTTATAGTATGCTTGCAGGAGGTTAGAATCCATAAATAATATTTACCACTCACATGTGAGATGTCACATGCTGGCTGTTGGACCAGTGTATTATTAATTTATTAACCTTTTTACTAACATTGTTACAATTTTTATTTGTGGTATAGATATATACTCACCTTTTCTATTAAGTCATACTTTCAGTTTTTTCCTACTTAAGGTATTGTATATTTGAATATTATATTATAGATATAAAAGTTCTTTTATGTATTGATGGTATTGCTATTATTGACTAGATTTTTCAAAATAATTTTATAAAAGAAGAAATGAAAGTAGTATGCTATAATAAGCAAAATCAATGCAAAAGTTTTTTGCTACGATGAAAATTGCTATACTAGGTGCTGAAGAATATATATATATATATATCCATATTTTAATAAAAGAATAGTTTTGATCTCCATTTGATATGTGTCACTCTAATACAACTTTTTATTAATATTATGCTACATGTCAAAGAGATATATTAGGCAACACTTCAAATTTTTAGGATTTATTTGATATATCTCTTAATTAATGATTTATTTGATATATCTCTTAATTAATGATTTATTTAAAAATTTGACATGTAGAGATAATAAAAATAAATCATTTCTGATTTTTTTGCTACATGTCAAATAAATCATTAATCGCAGTTTATTATAAAAATATACATATATGCACCTAAAGTGTCAAATAAATCATTAATCGATACAAAATAAAATATAAAAAAACTACAAAGATTCATAGTGTTATCATTTCTTCATATCAAGATTTCCATATTTTCTTCAATTTATCACTTTTCACCTCTTCAATATTTTTCAAAAATTCTTCAAAATCTACCAGAAAATAAAAAAAAAATTGATTAATGCAAGAACACGCACATGTATATATCATGTAAGATTCACATGTGATTATATAATGTGATATTCACATGTGATTGTATCTTTTAAGATTTAAATGTGAAATTCACAAGAAAATTTTAAAAATAATTAACGAAGAACACTTACACAAAATGCATGTGTGTATATAGGCGTAATTCATATGTGATTCACTTGTGATTTACATGTGAATCACATGTAATTCACTTGTGATTTACATGTGAATCACGTGTAATTGATATGTGATTTACATGTGAATTACATGTGATTAATATGTGAATTAATTTAAGTGAATCACATATAATTCATATGTGATTAACTTGTGAATCACATGTAATTCATAGGTAATTCACTTGTAATTTACATGTGAATCACAAATTAATCATATGTGAATTACATGCGAATCACATGTAATTTATATGTGAATCACATGTTATTTACATGTGAATCACATATAATTCATATGTGATTCACTTGTGATTTTCATGTGAATTACATGCGACTCACATGTAATTCATATGATCCATATGTGATTCACTGTGATTTACATGTGAATCACATGTAATTCATATGTGATTCACTTATGATTTACATGTGAATTACATGTGATTCATATGTGAATTACATATAATTTACATGAGAATCACATGTAATTCATATGTGATTCACTTGTGATTTACATGTGAATCACATGTAATTCATATGTTATTCACTTGTGATTTACATGTGAATCACATGTAATTCATATGTTATTCACTTGTGATTTACATGTGAATCACATGTGATTTACATGTGAATCACATGTAATTCAAATAGATGAGATATATATCATCTGTCTATTTGACTATTTATGCAAAAAAATAATCAGTTTTGGTACACTTACAGTTACATGAACTGAAGGTGGATCCGTGGATGTACAGAGACTATATCCTAAAACACAAAGAAAAAAAGGCAATGTCGGAACATATTCTTGAGGATTTACATCTGGTATTAAAAAAAAGTTTATAGAATCACTCACTATATGTAGTCTTTACTTTAAAGCTCCAGCCTCCAGCATACACTCACCAAACCATGAATCAGGTGGAACAGAATATCATTAGAATATAATTTTTTTAACTTTAATTAGTTATGTAACATATAAAATTAACTAGCATAAATAAAACACCATGTCACCTACATACATGGTCTCCTAACTCAGAACACACATTATAACCTATACTTCACAGTGAGTAAGAAACATGTCATCCTCTAAAGATAGATTCCATCACCATCAAAAGCAAGCAACTAAACAAACTCCACCACACATGGAATTCTCCATACTAGTGGTAATTAATTAATTTTATAAGTGCTAATTAACCACTAACTCATGAAGAAAAAGAAAAAAATTATCAATTTTTTTTTTAAATATAAGTAATCATAACTTGTCACAATAAATTTCCAAACAAACAAACCAAAATACCTTCTCCATAGTGCCATTAAACCATTAAACATGTAAAGCACTGTGTATTGGCCTGCCTCATACATACTACAAAATTGGATTCCTGAATCAAAAAACAAATTAGACTTCCCAGAACTTTAGAGTTCAAACAAATTATAAATCTTTACATCTTTACATATATAATAAAACTAAGAAATTTTATCAAATCTCCATCCAAAAGAATTGTTAATCAACATATCCATTTAAACAAATTGTAAACAACTTTAAGGTAAGCAGTTATATACTAAATCAATTGATCTTTTTTTTCAAAAAAAAAAAAAAACTTTTTTCAGGGCATTAATTGTAAAGCTTACTTTTTTCAAAATGGCAATAATGTCCTCGAGAGATGACAAAGTAGCATGGGATGATTCAACAGGTGTGGTGTAATTAGAAGCTACATGTCTTGGGATAGACAGAGATATATCAAAAAACTGGTCTAAAATCTACATGGAGTAAATAAAGTCAATAGAATTTTTTAACTATTAAACTTTTAAAGCATTTTCTAAAAGCTTTACCTGAGCAGAAACTTTTCTAACTTCAGAATTTATATCTATACAACGTGGAAGATACACTATGACTCTATCTCCCAAACACAATACATCTCTATTTGGCAAAAGAAAAGCAACTGTACATATATACAAGCAATTACATAAATCAATAAATCATAATTCATAAATGATTTAAAGGAAACATATTGTTTAGTTTATAAACTTACGTGGTAAATTTGAAACATTTGACTTTGAGTTGCCAGTGACACAAAGGGTATGAAATTTTAGAAGCATTTCATAAACTACATGACATCCTCTTTTTATTTGGTAATTAAGAGGTGAAGAAACAATGTGATCGATTTATTTCAAGCTGTAAGAGTTGTTCTGTACGACTTTTTCCATCTTCCTCACTATAAAATATAAAAAAAAATTTATATAATGTGGTGATCTTAATTATGTAAATTGTTAACATGAATACCTTGTGAGAAGAATTCACAGCTCCAGCTGGATCATTAGGTAAAGAAAAGAAACATATATTGTGATTTCATTTTGAGATTGAGCAAACCTATTTAACGATGACATCTATAGTATAATTTGATACTAATTAAATAAATATACACAAAATAGAACATGATTTAGCACTACAGGAAGAAATCTCCTACTACTAATCAATTGGGGAAGAAAACGTGAAAACGAGATGTTTACCGTCGAAAAGAGAGATCTGTGGCTAGCGCCGGTTTGAGATATGTGGCCGGGTACGTTTTTGGTGAGATAAGAAGGTATCAAAAAAGCGATTGATTGAACGCGTCATTATACTCGATCGACATAGGATCATCTTCTCTAATCAAATATTCTAGAACTGAGGATCATCGATCTTCTCCAATACTCTAGATCTGTTGAAGCTTCAATCGACGCCGAAAAAGGAGAAGGAGGAGCAGTTGTCGCGGCTTGCGGTGGAGAAAAAGGAAATCGATTCCAATTTCCAGATCAACGGCGACTAAAGATAACGACGATGAGGAAGAACGTGAGCGAAGGGAGAGAACGGTGGGGGTTGACTCAGGGTAATTCATCACGAAAATGCCCCTGAATCATTTAATTATCATGCCCCCGTGTTGTTTTTTTCCCAAGTATTTACAAAAATGCCACAAAGGATCCTAACCTTTTATTATTTTGATCTAACGACCCTATTTTGGTTCTCGGGTTCTCGGGAAACTTTGAGTTCTCAAATGATCCTTCCTCTATATATAGGAAGGATCATTTGAGAACCTAAAGTTTCCCGAGAACCCGAGAACTAAAAGTAGAACGTTAGATCAAAAATTTTAATGGCCTAGATCAAACATGACATATTTGTAATTATTAACAATTGCAATGGTAACATTGACTTTTTACAATAAATTACAAGGGTAGTCAAGGGATAAAATTTAACATACATAATAATTAATCAAAATTAATTTTGAAAATACAACTCTCTCTCATCGTCTTTCTCTCTCTCTCATGTTCATATTCATCCCAGATTTTGAGATGAAATCACCGAATCTCACCTCTTCATCTCAGATTTTGAGATGAAATCGTCGAATCTTGTCGCATTCTTATTGTCGTCTTCAGTCGCCAGAGTGTTTCACCTCCACCTTTGCTCCTCCATACTCGTGTTCCCCGCACCGTCTCAATCGTCTTCCTCATCCATTCGAAAGCGAATCCACAATCTATTGTCGTTCGAAGCCACAATCTCGACTCGCCACTCTTCCTTTCTTCTCAAAACATATTTATCTGATTCATTTTCAATTTTCGATTTAGTTCATCACCAATTTTTTCATCATCAGAACATACTCATCTGTTAATGGCACATATATGAGAGTTGAAGATGATGCAAACTGGTGTTGTACTTGGCCCTAACGATAGATCTTCGTCTGCAAAGTCAGGTACGTGTATTATTTGTGTAGAATTAAATCTTTTTGCAGTTAAATTGATGTAACCAATTCAAATCCCGCTCTCTGTTAACATTTTCATCTGTTATTTAGATTGATTGCTTCTCTAATATCGACCAGATCATGAATTAGGATTTTATAAATCCGATGGTTTTTTTTGGCTGTTATGCTTTAGGAAACATAAATTAAGCTTCAGATGTGTGGAATT